GCCATGTTAGAGGTTCTTTATCATTACTTTGGCCAATTCAAGATTATTCCCTCTGATGCAATTACCAGTGCTTCGTAAGTCTACTTTTAAATGTCTAAATGTAGCTTTTGCCATTTCCTTTTGCCAACTAGTACAGTCCGGGAAAACTCATTTCTATGATTTTTTTAACTGGTTTTCATTTCTGAGTTTAAGCCCATTACTCATAATTATATTCTCTTGTACCACATAAAACATCTCTCTCCTTATTTGGTGTTTATGCCCTTCAAATAATTGTAGACTGTTACTGGGTCACTGTGTTATCCACTATAAGGAACAACGCTCACTAGTGTGAAGATCATGCATACAATATTTAATAATGTTTATGTAAATTTGTAAATTGCTGTTATAACATAATCTGTGAACTGCCACAAAACTGTGCTTCATAATCTGAGATTACTTTTAAAAATCTTTTGTATTCAATCCTTATGATTAAGAAGAAAGTTCTCAAAAACTGAGCTAAAAGTAACCCATGCAGTGCTGTCTACACAAGTCTGCAGGACATTTAAGTCTGAAAGAAATTTAAGAGAAATAACTCTTTGGATGGCAGGACTGTATTTATCTCTGTGGTATGTACCTGAAGTGAAACTATAATTTAAATGTCAATATTACTTCACTATTGACCAATTTTGCAGACACTTTAAACTAATGCACTTATGGATGTGTATTTGGACACAGTGGAGTACAGCCTCTCCCCGAGTTATGAATGAGTTATGAACCAAACACTTGGCCATAACTCAATTTGTTCGTAACTCGGACCCCATTGAGTTACACAGCGACCGCGCTATGTGTAAGCGCGGGTCGCATTCGTAACTCAGGGACTGCCTTTATGACTGCTCCATGGGAGCTTTGGTTGTAAATGTGAACGGTCATAACTCGACTGTTCACAACTCGGGGACAGGCTGTAGTTAGTTGCTATCAAGAACTGATAGCAAAGGGAATGAATAATTCAAACCCTACCTCCCAAAATATGAATTAATCTTTTCTTCCAAAGGCTAAAGATTAGAGTTAGCCCCTTCCCAATATCAAAAGACGCCAATGCCTCCCTGGACAGCATAGTTAATGACTGTACAAACTTCATAGATGGACTTGAGTCTATAGTTCAGACTCGTCAGATTTGATAGATATAGCAAAATCATTTCCAAAGCCTTCCGATCAAAAGCTCCAACACTGGGCTAAGTAAGGGGCTGTGTAGACATTGTAATTGTGTACAATAAAACAAAGATCTAGTGTACCACAAAGGACACTGAGACTTGTAATCTTAGTTTTTATCAAGCAATACACACTCCATTCTTTAATCTTTCATCATAACTAAGTCTCTTTGCCTCTTAATCAATTTTATCCCGGTTCTCTGAATTCCCTCTCATTTGTCTGTATTTTTCTATCTCTGGAGCATTAGCATCAAAGCATAATTACAAGTTTGGCATCAATCTACTATACATTTGAGAGAATTTCTCTTGTCTTTTGGTCTGTCTGTTAAAGAACTTCTCCAAAACGGTAAGAGCTAGGATCACCAAATTCAATATACAGCTTCCTCTTATCATAACTTAAATTCTTAAAGCAAGGTTAGGGTTTGGTTGTGCCAGGAAAATCGGATGTGCTTGTAATGGGATTGCTTCTCATAAAAGCATACAGTAGAAAGACAGAATCACCAGGCAAGTGAAAGGGGCTGGCTGGGGCTGAGTCTTCCACACGCCTGGTGTCCTTTGGGGAGGAGGGAGGGACTGAAGCTCCCCCCACCAATAACTTAAATTCTTAAAGCAAGGTTAGGGTTTGGTTGTGCCAGGAAAATCGGATGTGCTTGTAATGGGATTGCTTCTCATAAAAGCATACAGTAGAAAGACAGAATCACCAGGCAAGTGAAAGGGGCTGGCTGGGGCTGAGTCTTCCACACGCCTGGTGTCCTTTGGGGAGGAGGGAGGGACTGAAGCTCCCCCCACCATTTGTAGGGAAACACTGCTCTCTGTTTCACTTCATCAGTTACCTAAGGGAAAATACACAGTTCACTGCATTCCTCACTCTCCCGAGGGCTGGGTAGCACAGGCACAGATAAACCTGGACCTGCCCCAGTCAGGACACATGCACCCTCGCCCTGGGCTATGCCCACGGGAACAGGAGTAGCCATGGAGAGGTGCTTTTCACCTGGCCCCAAGCTTCTGCGCTGAGATAGGGCCGGAGTAGTCCTCTATCCCTGGGATAGCTGGCATACTGAAAAGGTACAACCTATTCTGTAACTGATGTTCTTCGATATCTGTTGCTCATGTCCATTCTACATAGGTGTGTGTGCCTGCAACATGCACCAGCGCCAGAAATTTTTCGTTAAGCAATAGGGAAAGGCCAAGTAGAAGACAAGGCACCCTGCACTCCCTGGAGTGGTGTGCACATTCTACGCTATATGGGACACTCCCTGGAGCTTCTCTCCTCAGTTCTTTCTTTCTGATAGTGACAAGTGCTTGAACAGAGTGTTCCAGGCTTAGCTGCAGCTAGCATTCCCACTGCATTGTTGATTGTTCTAATCAAACTTACTAAGTACCTGTGAACTGCTGGACTTTGATTCTCCAAAAGGACTTTGTCTGGGAGACAGGGCATGCCCTGCTCCCCTGGCTTCAAAATCTCTGCCGCATATCACAGGCTCATGCTAGTCAGCAATCTATTGCTTTAAAAAAGAGGTGCACAAACTGACCTAACTGTATTTTTCCCATCTCTACTTGTTAAGATTCCATATTTGAGCAATCACTTACCTACGCAGTTACCCACCCATGGACAGTGGTGGTCAAACTTTGCTATACATCGATTGCACACGCCACAATGTTTGGACCTCACTGGCTTCCGTATCTGTTGGGCAGATATTTATGGACACACAATCACAAAAAGCTTTATAACTAAATGAAAGGAAAATTCTGAGAAATTTATACCGGTGGGAAAAAACTCAAGAATTTTAATTATAATTAAAATACTTTGCAGCTGTTAATCTCTTAGGGTATGTCTACACAGCAACGTTATTTCGAAATAACAGCCCTTATTTCGAAATAACTTTCCTAGCATCTATACAATCAAACTGCTATTTTAAAATAAATTCGGAGCACTTATTTCAAATTTGGTAAACCTCATTCTATGAGGAATAATGCCAAATTGAAAATAGCTATTTGGAAATAAGTGCTGTGTAGACACTTATTTCAAAATAGGGGGCCTCCAGCCTTCCCAGGGTGCCCTGGTGGCCACTCCAGCCTCAAAAAAGGAACACTTCTCTCCCTCCCCCGCTCCCCGGAGCCCTTAAAGGGGTAGTCTCTAGCCACAGTGCCTGTGCCAACTCCAAGCCTGCCAGCCCAGAGCCAGCAGTCACTGCCCCTGACTCAGTGGACACAAAACAAGAG